CGTTTAGCGTGTACGTGACCTGCAGCGGAAATTGTACAGAGAGCAAGCGCACGATACAACTCACCGGAAATTTTGTCAGGGTCGAGGTCATAAGAGTTCTCGAAAATAGAGTCTTTACATTGATCAAAGGAACAGCGTTAGAAAGTGAAATGAATGTTACTACACAGCTCACCCCCCCCCCTAGAACGTTGGTGAGGAGCAACAAACCTTCGAGAAGTCAAATGCAAACGATGTGGATGTGTGTAGTAAACGTGCGTAGTGAATGATTGTATAGTATACAAGAGTCTAATAGTAAACCAGTCTGTTGCTGTAGCTGGGGGAATGGTCAACACAGGATGTGTGCGTGTGTATGCAGTTCAAAGTCTGGTAGTATAGGAACAAGTGCGGCAATCACAAAAGCGTGATTTACAGGCTCCGTAAAAACAGGACAGGTTACAGAACTGAGACCAAGTTGCTAGACTTGCGGTTGGAGTCCACGGTCGTGTACCGGTTGCGTACGACTATAGTGACTCTTGTGCAAGCCGATTGCGGAGTCAGTCGGTACCAGTTTGGATAACGTTCCAGTTCAGCGGACAGTGTAGTGTCGTCTGTGATGAAGGGAAAAACGCCAGTTGTCGTACGTGCGCTGAAGAGGAGATAGCAAGGGATGCTGCAGGACACAGTGGTTCTCCCGTAGCCCCAATACACTGACACAATGGTTTATCTTCTGCCGGGTGTGTGGGGCCGTCCACGCGGTTGCCTGGTCGATAAAAACACTGGCCGGAGCAAACCAGAAAGAAGACCCGGCCTGCCAAAACCCGAAGTGCGTTCGACGGTGGAATAGAAGTGGCCTCTTCCCCCCTCCCACACGCCACTCCTCGCGTCCGCGTTCCCCGATCCGGTAAGGACGTGCGTTCCAGGAGGTGCGATCTTCTGAGGCGCACGTTCGTTAGCGGTATCCTGGAAGAGAAGGGGAAACGACTGACCTAACAGCCCCATGGCTGTTGGTAGAAGGGACGAGTGAGGGTCGAGATGAGAGCATGACAGAACCACAAAAAAAAACATAGCGCATTTTTTTGGAGTTTCCAATTTTGTCGTTTTTAGGGTTTTGAAGGTTTTGCGATTTTTTGTCGTTTTCTGTATAACGTAAAGAGAAATAATAAAAAATACGTGAAATGTAATGGGGGGACCAGCCAAAAAAATAAAGAGGTGATTAGCAGTCAAAACGGACTGGTCGGCGAAATTCGCGACCGCGACGGTCGCGTTTGAACAGGATAGATGGGGGCATCGTGGGAGCACTTGGGGTCTGCGGTGGACCCGTAGGTGGAGGTGAGGGAACCGGTGTTGGATCGCTGGGTGGATCCGTGGAATCTCGCTGGTCACTGCTCTCGAGGAAGGCTGGTCTAAGCCGATCTAGACTAACCGTCTCCCTCCTACCGTTAACATCGATGACGGCCGTCTTATCCTTACGGGCTGTAACTCTAAGCGGTCCGGTATACGGAGCTTGTAACGGCGCGCGCGTGCTATCCACGCGGAGAAAAACATGCGTACAGGATGATAGTTCTTTAGCTACATAAACGATGGCGGTCTGCTTCGGTGTGGTCGCAGCGTGAACCTCGCGCATGTGATGGCTAAGTCGCTGAGCGAAATCGGCGTAATTGAAGTTTCGCATCGGAGTTGGCGCGACGAGTTCCCCGGGGAGGCGTACGGAGCAGCCGAAAGCTAAAGCGGCCGGTGTGGTGTGCAAGTCGGCCTTTATCGTGTTCCGAATGCCCAAGAGGACAAGTGGAGCGGTCTCATGCCAATTAGAACCGGAGTGCGCTTTGAGAGCTGCTTTCAGCTGGAGGTGGAACCGTTCGACCAACCCGTTAGCTGCGGGGTGATAAGCCGTCGTGTGGGCATGAGTGCAACCTAATAGGCTAAGTAGAGACTTGAATGCTCCCTCAAAATGAGAACCTCGATCGGTAGTGACGGTCACGGGGCAACCGTATGTCGCGACCCAACGCTCGACGACACAATGCAGCATAATCTTAGGAACAAAATAAATGAGACAAACTACGCGTTCGTCCATCTCTATCCCCACCTTTCCCTCGTTCTCCAGCATATTCCGAACTTTCACCGCAGAGCCCTATGAGTCCGATTGAGATTTTTGACATATAGATCTAATATCCGTCGTAGGTATTGGTCTAGTTAACGTTTGTGTGGCGAAATCCCTTAACGCGCGAGTTCTTGCAAAATTGTCCATCAAACTGTACACTTCCTCTTCTTGTTTTCCAAATAGACGACGGTTAGTTATCTACAAGCTCCGCTGACCCACATAGAAGTCATAATTGTGCACCAGAAAACCTTTCATCAATCGGTACTTCCTCTCGAACTCGCGAATTTCCATGAATGCCATACCAGCGATGTTTTCTAGCCTAAACGGGTTGAATGCATTAAAAATGACAGCTATAATCACCTGGTTGCATTTGCACGGCACCTTGGATGATGTGCAATGCAATATTTGATGATATAGTGGGGAAAACCCTCAGGCAGCGTCAGTTTTCTCTTATCGGCTGTCACTGATGCATAAAAGTAGAAGGACGTGTAGGTAACCCTTTGGAATTGACGGAAGTCCTCCAAGAATTCGTCCAGCGATCCGTAGCAATCTTTTACCATTCTCTTAAAAACGACCGTATCGTCTCTAAACTACTTCAGGCAAGCGGTGTGCCCAACAGAAGGGGATAAAGCATGAAGTTAGACAAGCCTCGGGCGCTCAAACGCCTGAGAGCCACCTTTTTCTCGCACCGGGTAATTAATACATGGAACAAACTGCCGCAGGAGGTATTGGCGTCAAAAACCATTGCCGATTTCAAGCTGAAGCTTGACGCTTCCTGGGCATCAGCGTTCCTCGATTGTATCTGACACCGGGCCTGAGGTCGCTAAAAGCTCGTCCGTCTCCGGGTCCCCCACTTTTAACTCTTAACTCTTTATCTCTTACTACACTTTGTTCTCTCCAACTCCCTCAGCTCCAATTTTCATTCACTGTGCACCACATTTTACTGAAAGTTCTCAACATACAGCACCACCACTTTTAGGACATGCTTCTTCTCCCAACACGCATTTTACTCTGGGTAGCTCGGAGCGGTTGGTTGCGAGCTGTTGCTTTGATCCTGACCTCAGACGTGTACTGTCACTCAGAGGAACCATCAGAAGTGCGTTTTCCTTGTCCAGAACCGCACCCATCCACGCCTACGTAAACGAAATAATACAATCGTCGCAGCGCCGTGTTGCTCCCAAGCTCATTGTTGCAAGAAACTGAACTGCTTCTGGCTCCGCCGCAAGTCCTGTGATCTGTCCTGTCAACATGAGCCATGGTTGATATTAGCGCGGAAGTGATCGTTCACATTTCGTCGTACTATTTATACTTCTGGACGAAGTCAATTAAGGTTACTTGAAACAAACTACATTTTAACAGTTCACTTCAGATTTTCAAGAAGAAAGGGGGCACTATGTCGCCTGTTCGCCGAGCTTGGCAATTTGTTTGCAAACGTTTCATCACCAGCCGAAGTGACATCATCAGTGCTTGTCACCTCCGCTGGTGATGAAACGTTTGCAAATAAATCACCAAGCTCGGCGACAGAATTAAGTTCACCCGAGCTACGAAAACCGATTTTCAATACTTTGTCAAAGGTGGCTCTTTCCAATCGCGCATCCTTGAAGTCTTGAAGTAACTCGGTTTCGAGGCTGGCGCCCAATGGTCCGGGATCCTTGATGGTTTCTTGTCTTCTGTTCGTGGAGGATGCAACTGGAAATTCAGAAAAAACTGCCCGGGGACTAGCGATGCTAGTTATTCTGGCAACATTATTACTAAACGTAATACTCTGCTGTAGCAAATGGGCAAAATCATAAATACACACAAAATACCATAGTGCTTTTTGTTTGGTTTTTCAATTGTTTTTTGTTTATTTTGGAGGTGGCTTAAGGGAAGGCAATTGGACCTAGATGCTTATCAAGTCGAGACTTGAATGACGTTGTGCTTGTTCTTTTTTCAGTCAGTAGTAGCTTTATGCACCCGGATGGGTGTATTTTCAGCAATTACACCATATTTGTGGATTCAAATTTACAATATCGTACATAGTGAACACAATGAAAGCAGTAGATATTGTGTTTCTCAATAAAGCCAGCAATTGCGCAATTCTGTGGAAATTGTGTCCTTGTCTATAAGTAGACGTGCTAGATATG